CGGCCATTTTGTTCCTCCTCGGGCGGGGCGGGGGCGGGGCCGGGTCCTGGCCCGGTATAACCGCAGCGGTGTCCGCGGCCGTGGCCGGTCACCCCCGTAAGGGACATGATTTTGGTCATTATAAACGTGGAAATGTCCTCAGCAACCGGGCGCCCTGTGCACGGTTGTTCTCTGTCCCCCCTGCCCCCCCCCGCCAAGCCTCGGGCAGAGGCTCCCGTGCCGCGGCTGAAGCAATCCACAACCGGGGTTATTGTGATTTAATTTATCATTTGCATAAGCTTCAGTCCCGACAGGGTCGCAGAGATCAAAGTCTGCGCCTCTCTGAAAGCCGATTCTTCAGCTGTTTGCCCACCTCTCCAACAAACCCGGGTGGGTTTATAGTGCCCTTTGCCAGCTGGAAGTTCTTCACAGCACCGACTGTCCAGTGCTTAGGTCAAGGTTATTGTCAGGGACAAACTGTCATCGCACAGCGCTGCAATAATTTCAGAGTATTAATTGCCAAAAAGAAACCAACCCCCATGGTAGTTTTTTCAGGCCTTGGTGCATTCTGCAGTGAGGGAAGCAGCGTGAGGGATGGCAGAAAACAAGGGGGTGTGCTAACATCTGAGATTTATTGGGGAAAATGAAAGGAGGTTGTTTGAAGTGTGTTTAAAAAAAGATCTGCCAGGAAAACCAAACATCCCTGGCTGACAGTCAAAACTGCACTCTCAGCATAATGTCTTTGATGCAAAGGCTAAGTGTGTCATCCCCCACACCCCCCAGCAGTGCGTGGTGGGACAGTAACGTAGCTTTTAGATAAGAAATCATTAAATGTTGAGCTGTCTTGCAACGGGAAGGGGGGGGGGGAATGAGGTTGAAAATATCATGGTTAGGCCTCATTAAAAAGATACCTGTCTTGGCCAAGGAGTTTTTGATCTCTTCACAATTACTCCCGTTTCACCAGGATCTTTGGGTTGTGGGGGTTTTCTTGTTTAAATAAACATGGCTGGTCTGCACATATTTGATGTGTTTGTATTAAATGGGGGGCCCAGAAACAAGATTTACCCTGTCACCTGAGAAAAGCAGCATTTTTCTTGGAGCAGCCTCAGCAATATGCTCTGCTGCCAGCACAGCAGACACCACTCTAACAGAACACCTCAACCCAAATCCCCAGTGTTTCTTGCTTTTCTTGTCCTACTTCAGGGAACCTTACAAAGGCTCCTTTCTCCTACACTACAGTCACTGCTGCGCTAATCTGGGCACAGCACAGTTCTGCTGGCACACGTGCCTCATCCCTTGCTGTTCTGTCCTGGCCTCATGCAGGTCTGGCAGTGCCAGGTTTGACCTTTAGCTGGACTGCAGGTTTCGCAGGTGTCTGTAGCTACTTTTTCAGAAGAGAGAATAGTTCCCGACCCTGTCCTTCTTCTGATGGCAGGGGAAGAAATAGCCTTGGTATCACACAAGGAGGCAGAACTTAGACACTGTTGATTTTGGCATAGTGATCACTCTGGATGCTTTTGTATATAAGAACTGTAAGGTTAAATAGGGGCATGGGTTCAGAGGAAGAGTCGACTGGAATACCTGAGAGAACATGAGAGATTAAGAGAAGTGGATTTGGACAGAGTTATATTATGCTTCCATTCTAGCCCGTCCTTGAGTTAACATTTTTCATGCTTCCAATAGCTATGCCCCATCAGGGGCTTTTGGGTGCCAAATACAAAGCAGATACATCTCCCTTCAGACTGATCTGCAGTCCCCAAAAACCAGCTGTGTGAGCAGCAGGCCTGCAGGGTCTCATTTCATATTGGTTTGGGTCTTACAGGTTATGTCTGCTGTCTTGTAAAGTGCAGGCACCAAGCAAGACCTGCAGAATCTCTCTTTCCTGTATCAGCTCTGTGATTGCCAGCAAGGGCTGAATGCTGCAGGCCACTCCTCAGTAAGGAGGACAGGATTCCTCTTCTCTATGCAACGATGTATTTTGGTGAAACTTGCAGGTACTTTGCTATTACTCTGGGGAAACTGAATTGAAATGGGTGGAAAGTTAGCTATGGCAGTGTTGGATGAGCTTCAGTGCCTCAAGTACTGGGCTACAGTCCCCACCAGCACTGAGCCTGGCTGTCAGTTTCTCAGCCTCCACCAGTAACATCCCAGGTTGTGGGAAATGATTTCCAGTCTCACCCTCTGCAGGTAACTCCCCTCAATCCCAAGTGGCATGTGCCTGGGCCGTTGTACACGTCACAGATGTTGCTCTGGTCCCACCTGGGTTTTCTCCCTGAAGAAATTCTGTATTTCACAAGTACTGTCTCCAGTGTAAAAACATAAACAAAAGCCAAACTATGCCCCACATGGGTGTTGTCTCAGCTATTGGTAGTGCTCAGAGTTACACTATCTTTAATGCTGTTGCTAAAGTGTCTTGCTGTTGGAGATGGTGTGAACCAGCCTCGTTTTGCTGAGTGTCTCTTTTTGTTCCAGGAGTACTGACATGGTGAATATCCACAAATCTGCAGTGCCTGTACACACCTTTTCACACATAACCATAAAGTCTCCAGAGTCTCTCTCAGCAGTATTGGGGCTTTTCCAATATTTGGGAGCATGGTTCTCCATTGCTGGTTGGGTTTTTTTTTGTTTGTGGTTTTTTTTTTTTTGGTTGGTTGGTGTTTTTGAAGCTTCAGCTGCTGGAATCCAGGGGTTGCACAAGAGCTTTTCTGTCCCTCAGAGAAAATTCCAGACATTTCTCATTCTCTTGATTGTACAGGAAAACTGGAAAATACTATTTGAAGCTACCTGAAGGATTGGAACCTGTGAGGAAAATGAAAGGAACCCCCAAATTACTTTGTTTAAGATCTTCTCTGTCCCTGCATCCCCATGGCTCTTGAGCAAAATTGGCTCAGGGATGCTAGGGGAGGTGAGTGGTAATTTGCATCTAGACAGTTCTGGCCCTCCTTTGATTGACTCCAAAGGAATTATGTATCTTCTCACGTACAAAGTCCTCCACACTCCTGCCTTTTCTTCCGTCTCTGCAGGCATCTCTGGCACCCCCACTCCCACTCTCTGTTTGATCAAAGCTTCCCCTCTTCTCCTTTTATCATTTTTGCCTGCTTTAGACTCTCTGCCTCCTCTGCTGCAGCGCATGCCCAGAGCCACCTTCCAGCCAAACATACTTTGAGTTCCCTGTGCCTTTTCCATCAAGAGCTTTTAAATGGGAGAGCCAGGCTCTGACGCTCATCTCCTCTGTTCAGTTCACACTGTTTAATACATGCAACTGGGCACACAGGTAAACCTGGCATACCACAAAGCAAATGGGAAAGTACAGGTATTTCTGATATTCAATGTACAAATGTTAAATGAATGCCTGGGGAAGAAGAGGGCATGCCCATACCACACATCCCCAGCACTGGCCTCCAGCTGTTTCCAGCTCAGGACCCTCCTGGTCTGGATGTGTAGAGCTGTCCCACAAGAGAGGAGAGGCCATCTCATGAGAAACTCAGAGTAGAGTCTGAGAGCTGGCTGGGGTCTCCTCCCCTTCTTTTGCAAGATTTTGAAGGATGAGCCTTGTGGTGTCTGTAGGGTAGGAATAGGGCTCCTGTTTTGTCATGGAAAACTACTTGAAAAGCCACAAGCAGAGCATGATGGGCAATGCCAGAACCCACCTGCACTTGGGATTTCAGTGCTTCTTATTGGCCTTGCCATGGCCCGGTCTCTTCTGTCTATGGAGCCTTTTTCTGCGCTATAGTTCATTGACCGGAGAAAGACAAGTGCTTTGTGATCCAAACCCTCTGCCAAAGCCCCTGGGGCAGCCATGGATCAACACCCAGTACCTGGATGGATAGATGGATGGATGGTGGATGGATGGATACAGCCTGACTCCTGACTGTGTGTTATGTCTTGTGGCTTCCCACACAACTTGTACACCACCCTGCAGCCCCCAGGGTTGGAACAGATCCACTTGGCACCATGGTGTCCAGCTACTTAAAATGTATCAAGGAATGAGTTAAAGAAAACAAAAGCAACACACAACCACCCCATGTCACAAGATGGCTGTAACAGCTCCCAGCAGCACTGACACTGCACCATGGTTGTTTGAGGTTGTTGTATATTTTTTTCCCAGGATCACAGGGACCTGCGTGATAAGGTGCTGGTGTGATCCACCCTTCTACTCCAAAATGAGGCTGCTATCACCTAAATTCCCCACAAAGTATGCCTACCCAGCCTATTCTTACAAACCTCCAGTGATGGAGACTGGTGCTTCCCCAGGCAATCTACTTGAGTAATTAACTGTCTGTTCTGTTAGAAAGCGTTTCATAATGTCTAACATCAATCTTGCTCCTTGCAATTTAAACCCCATTACTCCTCGCCCTATTTCCCAGTGGAATCAGCAAACGATTGATTCCTGTCCTCGTGTCATCACCCTGTGCCCCTATGAGAGAAAGTCTTGGGCCAGTTTATGACATTGCCTCTGCCCACAGAGATGGCTCTCCTGAGCACGGTCACATCAGCACAGGGGAAAACAGAAAACAAGGATCTTTTGGGGCTGGGGATTGGCACAGAGCACTGATAGAAATGAGACCCCTAAGAAGCACCTGGACTTGCAACAGCTGGCTATGAGCCCAAAGCGGGGGAGCGAGGCAGTAGGATGGATTTGCAGCATGTGCCCCCTGTGCTCTCCTGCTGCACCAGGGGTGTCTGTGGCATGGGGGCTTGGGGGCTGCAGGGGGCAGAGAGGCTGGGGCAGGCGGGGAGAGCAGTTGCAGCTGCACCAGTGAGACCTGAGGTGACAGGGGAGAGGTTTGACCCATTGCGAGGGACCCCTCCCCATCCAGACTTGGCCTCCTGTCCCCATCTCTGCCTCGGGTGCCTTCCCACACCCCACACACCCCATCCTCTGTCCCTGCAGCCTGTGGGGCTGCCCCATTGCGTCTGGCCGTGCCACCGATATGCGTCACCTTGCGCAACCGGAGCGACGCGGCCCCCCGGGACCGACCTTCGTCACCTCCGGCCCCCCATACAGACCTTCTCCTTTAAGCCTAGCTCAGAAATGACCATGCTGATCCCTCCCACCTGCCCGCTCCCCCTGGCCCGGCCCTGACGTCAGGGGAAGGCGTGCGGATGCGTGTGTGTTCGAAGCGCACATCATACACACATCAGATACCGCAGATCCATCAGCAGGCAGCCGGAGGAAGCCCCCCGGAGCCGGGCTGCAGGCGACACCGCTGCTCCTCGCAAGGTAGCGGGGCAGTGTCCGGCCCCGCCGAGCACCGATGCTCTGCAGAGCGCAGCTCCAAGGAGCCCGTCGCTGCTAAGGAGGTGAGTAAGGGGAGGCACAATGGCCATCTAGCGTGCCCGGGCTATTGTAGCTGGAGGTTAAACTTCACGCACCACCTTCTTCTTTCAAACCTGCTTTTTCCTTTTGACGATGGAGAGGTGCGAGGGTGAAGCGTGACTTCCCTGCGGTTTGGTTATTCCCTACCAGCCTCAGGAACAATAACTCCCCTGGGGGTGGCGGCGGCAATGTTGCACGTCTGCTTTGGCTGGGGGGCAAATAATCCAGGGCTTTGCCACGGAGGTCTGAGCTCAGCTGGGACCCAGCTCTCTGATTGCCGGGTGAGGGGAAGGCAATTTGTGAAAAATCCGTCTTATTAAAGCAGACTAATAATGATGTGGCTTGAATTGGTGTTTCTTTGGGACTGGCTGCGCTATTCCTGCTGATGGCAAGTTAGATCCACAAAGGAGGAAGGAAGGACACAGAGGAAGATGTTTGTACCACGTCTTTGAACACTCTGCTAATTAAAAAATAAAAACCTACGCAAGAAAACAAACAGATCCCACAAACTCGGTATTTGTGATGATTTTTGCATATATGCTTAAAAGGTAAATCAAGCCTCCATGATGGTTTCTCTCCTTGCTTCTCCTCTGCATCTCTCAGCCTGCTTGCTCTCCCCCATGGCCTCCCTGAGAACTGGGCAGCCCAGCACTGACTAGGGGAGCTTTTTATAATCAATCCATAAAGGTGACATTCATATTTTAGCGCTAAGCAGGCTGTATCGTAGGCGAGACTATCTCAGCAAAGATCTCTGAAGTTGGGAGTGTGATTGGCTTAGCTGGGGAGGGGACGCTGTCAGTGTGCATTCCCCAAAAACCGCCTAGTTTTATTTTTCCTATAGTAATTTGTCTCAGCAAAGGGGTTTGTAACACTCAGGGTAGATGAGAAAATGCTTTGCTTGGTATTTAACTCTTAACAGCATGATCTGGTAACCAAAAAACGGGAGCAGGGGGGAGCTGAGAGGATTTCATTAGCATCGGACAGAGACAGCATTTATAAAAACCTGCCAGACGCCGAGGCTGTGAGCCTTCTCCAAGGAAGGGAGGATGGAGAACCATAGCCCAGCGAGTGCTGTGATGGCCCTCTTCATGGTAGCCGCTGCCTGGAGCCATCCTTGTTCCCCAGCTTGTTCCTGACCTTCATGGCAGCCCCCCTGGGATCTCTGCTGGCCACCATGTTTTTGTTGGGTCCCTCGGCAGGTGAATATGCCAAGCAGCTGAAAAATGGGATTTTTGTTTTTGCATCGAGCCCTGGGGACACACTCGTGCGTCTGGAGGGGTGTAGCTCTTCTCTGTTTCAGCCTGTGTCTAGACTAGCTGGGTCTGGGGGGGCATCAGCCTCCCCGAGGATGGCAGCGGGCCAGAGCATTGCTTTCCCTGCTTTGTGGGGTGAGAAGATGGCTACTGGCAGCTGGCTGTGGAGATGGGGTGTCTTTTTGACATGCAGAGACCTTTTTTTCCTATTGGGGTGGATTGAGAGGGGTGGTAAACCTGACTCCTAAACCGAGACCACTGGTAGTTGCAAGGGGTGGAGAAAACACGATGGCGAGTGGCATGGAAGAGCCCGGGCAGAAGATTGCTGGAAAAGGCAGCTGAGGGAAAATATTCAGCTCCTTGGCTGGGGTGGGGGGAGCAGTGGCACTCGGGAGTGTTGTGGCAGACAGCATCTGAGCTGGGGATTTACAAAGAGAAGCAGCGGCGTGAAAGGGAACAGCCCATAAAGGCGACGACAGGCCAGCTGAAGGGTCACGTCCACAGCCGGAGCGTGACGGCCGCCAGCAGAGCGGCCACCCATCCTCCCATCCATCCTGGGCATCCCGGGGATTCCAGCGAATGGGAAGGAGCACAAAGAAGCCGCACGGGAGGGCCGACTCACCGAGGGCGATTAAGCTAATTAAATACGTATTCCCCTGCCTGGGTGAGGGACGTGTGAGGGGTTTTTCTTCGCTGCTGCTAATGAACGGGGAGTAGCGGACGGAGGCTGGTGCCTCTTCAAAAGGCTCTTTCCCCCCTTCTAGGAGACCTTGAAAGGCTGTTTAGTTAAACAAGGTCACAGCCAGCACCCAAGTCAATGTGTTTGGCTTTAAAGAAGGGGAGAGAGACAGTGATTTTATTTGATAAACCGCAGACCTTTCAGTCACTGCTGATGAATGGGGTACTTGGATCTTGAGATAAAAGCTGATGTGTCTACTGCCTGTCTGCCTTAATTGGCCTGGGTTCCCTGCCTTAGCCTACGAGCGCTCCCGACTGTCAGCTCTGCCAGCTCAGGAGCCTGCCCTCCGAAAAATATAAAAGCAAAGCTGGCTGCTGCTACCAAAGGAGACCCTGTCACCAGAGGGCTATGGAGTTTGGCTCTGAGATGGTTTCTTTGGGGAGGGGGGAAGGCAGACAGGGCGGTAGGTGTTTCTTATGAAGAGCGTCCTTCCAGGGAACCCTGGGCTCGGTGCTGCTCACACACCTCTTTGACTTGAAGGATGGTCACCCTGGGAGACCCTCGGAGCAAAGCCACCAAGGGAGACAGGGAGGAGCAAGGTGGAGGTCCAGCAGTGATGGTGGAGAGGGGTTATGCTGGAAAGGCTTCTCATGCCCCACGGCAGAGCTGGGCTGCTGCAGCCTCTCCTCTTCTTCAAAGTGACCCGGATTTCATCCCTGCACTGTATATATGCGTGGAGTGGGCACAGTGTCGTGGGTGGTGTTAGCCAGGCCAGGAGATTCCTGGGGTGGAGAGAGATGCTCTCATCCCAACAGGGGTTCTCATGACCACGGGAGATGGAGGAGAGGGTGAAAATGCCTCCTGTGCCCAGGTGCTTCCTCCTTGTCACCTGCTGGGGCTGCGATGTGGAGAAAGGGTTGGGGAGATGATGGTGGGATGGAGCACAGAAAGGAAAGGAGAGAACAGGAAGGTTTTCCCTGACCTCTGGCTGGGCTGGGAGGGGAGGAGGATATGCTTGTGTCCCCTGTCTTCTCTCAGCCCACTTTTGCCCTGAGTTTAATTTCTTCAGTCCCTTTGTTTGCTGTGGGGATTTCAGTGAGGTAGGAGGTAGGATACTGCTCTGGAGTCTCACGTGGTGCCAAGTTCCCGTTCAACCTCAGCTTCACCAGCACCAGCAAAACCAGGCATTCAGCCACTGGGCACCAAGGCTGACCCACAGAATTGGGATGCTTGTTCCAGATGCTAAAGAGGGGCAGAGTGTGCGTGCTGGTTGCAGGAGACAGCTTTGGCATGGCTGCAGGACAGGGGGCCCTGCTCCAGCCCCTGCTCCAGCCCCTGCTCCAAGCAGAAGTTAGAGCAGGCAGCTCAGGGGCGTGTCCGGGGGATGCATACCCCTAAGGATGGGGATCCCACAGCCTTGCTGTGCCCTATCCCTGTGCTTATCCCAGTAAGATGCCATCCCACATCAGGGTTCCCTCCCACATCCCCATGGGCCAGCCAGAGCCCCCCCCAGAGTGCCTGTGAGCGATCGTGTCCAGCTTGTTCTCCCACATGGAGCAAGCTCAGCTCCTGGGGGCAAACAGCAGCCCAGGAGGGCACCCTCTGCTTCTGTCCTTGGCCCTCGGGATCAGATTGCCTGCCTCCTCAGTGATGCCCAGCATGCTACTGTTCTTGACCACTCCTCGTCCTCCAAACCAGGGAGCCTTCCAGGGCACCTGAGCCTGGGCTGCTCCCACAGGTGAACCTGGAGCAAACCCACTCTTGGTTGCCACTTCACCAGCCCACAGCATTTTTTTCCTGCAAGGCTCCCACTCCTGCACACCCCTTCCCCTTTGCCTCTTACTTTTCTTTAGCCTCTGGGAAACTTCCATTTTTCCAGCCCCTTATGGATGCCAACCAGCTCCCTCAGCATACTAATAGTTTGCTCCAAGCATCGTTATTCAGGTTAAATACCCTCCATTGTCCCTAATCTGGTGAGGGAATGGAAAGGCCTTGTCAGTGAAAGCGCACACAGAGGAGGTACGTCATGGTGAGGCCATTTTCATAGTGGCGGCTTCATGATGTGGGCCCTCAGAGAACTGAGGGCCACTCCCCCCAAACCATCCCACTCCTACAGCCCTGCTTCCCCCAAATAATCCCACTCCTACAGCCCTGACACCTGCTGGGAAGGCGATGGATCCTGCATTTTGCTGGCCTAAAGTGGCCAGACTGCTTGCTAGCACAGGCAGGGAGGTTGGATGGGGGCACAGACGGGAGCCATGAAGCTGCTTGATGTCTGGCCTGGCTTTGGGGTGTCTCATTTGGGTGTTCCCTGAGCCTCTCCAAGCTCCACAGATGTGGGGGAAGGAGAGCTGAGCCTGAGCCTGGGAACGGGAGAAGGGGTTGCTGAGCCAGGGTGTAGGGGAAAGAGATGCTGAACCTGGGCATGGGGGCAGGAGATGCTGAGCCTGTTGGGCCAGGAGCCAAGGAGCTCCTCTATGGGGTGGGATGTGGAGCAGAAGACAAGCATGCATGCTCCAGTTGCTTCGTGGCAGAGGGGAACCACTGAAGCACAGGAAGGGGTTGGTGTGGGGGTAGGTGGGGAGCCAGCGAGGGGAGAGACATTTTGGAGGGGTTTGTGGCTGTGACTGGAAGTCATCTTGGAGGGCAGAGGAACATGGTGGCTTCTGTCTTGGAGTAGGACTCCAGTGTGGGCTGTGCCACCTGGATCTGAAGGTGAAGCTCTGCAAGGCTGAGAGGGGGCAGCTGAGTCCCAGATGGGCAGCATCCCATGGCAGCATCCAAGCTGGACTGGTAGCAGTGGGGATCCAGTGGCAGGCAGACCCCCTGGCAGGGGAAGCAAGCAGAGGTGGGTGAGGGGAGCAGAAATTGCCTAGTCCCTTCTTGAAACTTCAGCTGCTCTAGAAATCTTTTTCTATGTCCTTGGTGCCTGCTAATTTCAGAGTGGAGGTGACCCCCTTTTGCACATCCCCCCTGGGCCTTCGTGTCTCAAGGGGCCACAGTGAGTCAGAAAACAAATTAAATATTCTCTGGGTTTCCTGGTGTGTGCAGGTGTCATCCCAAAAGATGCTGCACGCCCCAGTGGGGTGGGAAAGGGCTGAAGTGGGTGGTGGAGAAGGGGATGGTAAGTCTATAGGATGTCAGGCTCCGCAGCTCTGAGTGATGGGAAAACCCCCAAGGCTGAGGAGTGATGGAGATGGATGAGCCCCCTCACCTAGCACACCCAAAGAGAGGTGCCCCCAAGCAGCCATTGGTGTGGGGCACCCCAGGACAGAGGCACCAGTGTCAGATGCAGCGACTGATTGGAAATCATCAGAGCAAAGGCTTTCTGAGCAAGTGGCTGCAGTGCTGATCATGCATCTCACTGGGAGGCTTAGAAGTGCACAACCCCTCCAATTTCATGCTGGGGTGCTTCAGCAAGGACAACAGTGCCCACAATTGCTCTGACAGGACACCTTTGTGGGGTTTCTTCCCCTTAGGGCTTTAACTCCTTGCAAACTGCATGATGCCAGCCAAAAACTGGAGCCTAATGATGGCAGCAACAGGAGGTTGTGCTTGTGTTGTGGCTCACTGAGGTGCTGAAGGGGTGTGAGGGCTGCTGGCAGCCCCATCACAGCCTACTGGTGTCCCTTCCTGTACAAATGTGCCGCTGGCTGGGGCTGGAGTTTGGTCCTAAATCCTATAGGGCTGAGGCAACCTCCTCTGCTGGGGAGACCTCAGACCCCTGGCCTTGACCTACCTATTGTCTCAGCTTTTCTCCTTCACTCTTTTATTAGAAATCTCAGGCTGGGACAAGTTCTCAGAGTCTGAGACTGGAGACCCAGGCATGCTGGCACTGCATGGGCATCCTTCCCAAAATGGTCCCTGCTGGTGGCAGCTCATGTTCCACTGCTTCTTTTCCCAGGCTGTGCTTTTTAGTGACTTCATCTCAAATATATGGGATTATCCTGGTAAATGAGCCACAAACCAGGCTCTTCCCTTGGGATTGATTTGCTGGAACATCTCAGACTTCCAGGGGCAATTCCTAGTGTTGGGGGTTGGTGTCCAATACAGAAGTCTGGCAGCATGCTGCCTGCTCCCACAGATGGCTGGGAGCAGAGGGGCAATTCCTGACAGCAAATTGTCCCTGCCAAAAGCCCCAGAGAAGGGCCTGTAACCTCCACCTCCTTTTGCTCCCCAGGTCACCAGCAGTAGACCCGCACGCCCGGGTGTCCTTTCTCCTGCCGCCCGCCCACCTGCCCCCAAAACGGAGGAGCCCGCTGGTCCCACCATGTCTTCGGACCCCAGCGCCCCGCCAGCGGTGCCACCGCTGCACTCCCCCAAGTCACCAGTGTGGCCCACCTTCCCCTTCCAGCGGGAGGGCAGCCGCATCTGGGAGCGAGGCAACCTCCTGCTGCGGGACCTGCCCAGCCCCCTCCCCACCAAGAGGACCAGGACCTACTCGGCGTAAGTACCTGGCTTGCGGGTTTGGGACCGTCCAGTCGAGCTAAGCAGGGGCTGTGGTCACCTGCAGTACCTGCAGAGCCCTTTACACCGGTGCACTTTGCCAACGCAGCGCCCGGCATTGCTGCACACACCTGCCAAGGGTGCTGCGGGTGGGTGCCGTGTGCTCTCCCAGGGGGCATCATGTGTTCATAGCAAACCTCTCCCTGTGCTGCCCCCCGGGTGAGTGCCACCAGTGAAAAATCTCCTTCCCTTTCCTCCCGCAGGACGGCGCGTGCCTCTGCCGGTCCCGTCTTCAAAGGCGTCTGCAAGCAGTTCTCTCGCTCCCAGGGACACGGATTTATCACCCCTGAGAATGGCACAGAGGACATTTTCGTGCATGTGTCTGAGTAAGTCCCGGGGTTGTGTGGTGCCAGAACACCCCGGGGGAGCCATGCCAGCATGGGGCTGGAGACTTGTGGGCTGGGGCATGGATGTCTCCACTGGGTGGGAATGGGGCTCTTCCTGTCCTCTACCCCTCATCACCTGTGGGTTTTCTTTCCCAAGGCACAGCTGGTGGGTCGGGTGCCTTCCTTGGTTCTGGGTGGTCTGGGGCAGGGGTCTGTCTCTTGGCCACAGCCCCACCATCTCTCCTTTCCTCTCCCACAGCATCGAGGGGGAGTACGTCCCGGTGGAGGGGGATGAGGTGACGTACAAGGTCTGCCCTATCCCTCCCAAGAACCAGAAGTTCCAGGCGGTGGAGGTGGTCCTCACTAACCTGGCGCCGCACACGAAGCACGAGACATGGTCTGGCCAGATCATCGGCTCCTAGGCGCCTGGAGGGCCGCCAGCCACTCAGCCCCATGGAGCAAGCCTGCCCGGCCGCTCACAGGGGGCGTGGGGGGAGCCGAGGCGGTGATGGGGCCGGGGCTGCCCCCAAACTTGCAGGCATTTGCGTTCAGTGTCTTTTATAAGGTTACGGTTTCCTTTCTCTGTGTGTGTTTGTAAGTGTCTGTCGAGGGGGACAGGGGAAGCAGAGCCCTCCCTGGCCACCCCCAGCTCTGGGGGCAGCACCGAGCCCCATGTTCCCTATTCCTTGCCCCCTGAGGCCATGGGGAACAGAGTCCTCCAGCTGCCTTGGGCTGAAGCAGGTGCTGAGAGCAGGAGGGGGCACGGGGAGGCTCATCCTCCTGAATCCCACTCTGGCAAGATGGGCATCCCACTTGGTCTACACTGGGACATGCCCTGGGGCAGGGGCAAAACAGGGCAGTGTGGGATGACAGATCACTGTGCAGGATCTGGGTGTCTGAGACCCATCCCCATCGCTGGCAGCTCACAGCACCCACCTGAGCCACATCCCTCCATCATAAGATCTCAGGTCACCGGTACCACGAGGAGGTGAGTGACTTATAGGAAGCAAAGATTTAGTTTTACAAGACTAACAGCTGCTGGCAGGGCTCTGGGGGCACTTGTTGCTGTGCCTGGGGGGCTGCACTTGGGCATGGGGCAGGGGGGCACTTGGCACCTCTGTGCTCCCCACCACTGCTGGGCCAGTAGTGCGCTTTTCTTGGCTCGGTGCTGACATGGTTTTGGGGAGATGGCCACTTTCTCCTCCTCCCCTTGCCTCCCCAGCCCCCTGGGGACCCCTCTTCCCATGCGTGCGCGCGTGCGCGTGTGTGTGTGTGTGTGTGCATGTCTGTAGCTTGCTGGGGTGGTGAGGGGCTGAGGGGTCTGAGTAGCCTCAGCTGTGGGGCAAGCACAGCCACCTCCTCCCCAGCCCCTCAGTGTAGGCAGGGTCTCGTATACAAAGCACAAACTTAGTTTTTGGTCTTCTCCGCCATACCCTGGCCAGGTGGGCTCGCACAGCTCCAGGGAGGGACAAGGATAATGTGCACTGGGCTGGTCCTGAGCTGATTCCAGGGGAACAGCACCTGTGCTGATGCTCTGGGAATTATCAGCATCTTAAAGGATTTATTTCAAAGCAGGGTTGGGAACAGTGGGGTGCCAGCAGCCCCCCTGAGCAGGGCAGGAGGTGATAGCCAACTCCTGGGGCACGTGCTCAGCGGGAGGTGCCAGCACTGCTGGTCCTCAGCATGGACAGAGGGGGGTGTTTGCCACCTTTCTTGCCACCGCTGTTGTTGAGAGGAATAAGCGGGGACAGGAGTGGGGCAGGGCTGGTGCCGTGCAGGACAGCTGGGCCTTGTGGATTTGGGAGGACCACCACATGCTGCCCTAGACCAGGCTACTGTGGGAACTGCCCTGGGACCCTCTGACCCATCTCACTGCCAACTCAAAGCCTGGCTCTTCCAGGGGCTGTGGCAACCCTGGCTCAGGCTCCAGGCATACCCAGGACATGCAGTCAGCTTGGCCAAGGCAAACTGATTTTTTCTTTCTCTTTTTTTTTTTTTTTTGAAATAAACTAAAACCCTAGACTCGTTGTTGTTGGTTTTACAACTCCAGTGTGGTTCCCGCTTGTCTGACCATGTGTCAACCTTTGTAACATTGGCAATAAACCATTAAAAGTGAGTTTCCCATGAGCCCTGCCCATCCTGGCTTTTTGTCCTCTGTGTGAGTGTCACAGCGGGGATGCTGGTGATTCTCTCAGGTAAAGGACCTGGAGCACCCAGGGATTAATCCAGACATCAGAACAGATTCATCCACCTCCACACAGTATGTCCTGGGTGGCTGGGAGTGCTCCAGCCTTTGCTCACGGGGAGCACACTGTGAGCCTGGGACGGGAGGCTGCTGCTCACCATGAGGGGCGGCCAGGACCGAGGCTGGTCCCTCGCTCCTGTGGGCATTTTGAAGTGTGGCTGCCTGCCGTCTGGCTGCCTTTCACCCCCACAGCCCAGCACAAAGCACATGCTGCCTCCAACTGCTGTGTGTTGTGGCTTTAATAGGATTGATTTTAATTTTTTTAATATATGTATCTATGTATTTAAATATATTTAACAGTTGGTATCAGCCAGACAGGAGCTGCCCATCTTGCATGGATATGGAGCCACATAGCAAGACAGTCCCGGGCATGGGGCCTGCCACACCTGATCACTGTCATGCACAGGGAGAAACCCCCACTTACTCTGTGGGCACCCACCGTGACAGGAGCATCAAAGGGGTCCCAAGGACAGGCGTGAACTGTCCCCTAGGCATGGGGTTCCCATCCCTGTATCATCCCTGCCTGCAAAAGCACAGCACAGGCAGCCAGGGTTCTCAGTGGCCCTGCTTGAGCAGGGGCGTGGGACCAGGAATCTCCAGAGGTCCCTTCGATCTCAACCATTCTGTGGCTCTGAGACCCTGGGGCTGCCCCATCTACTTCTGATGCCACCATCCTCCTCATCCCTCTTGGCCTCTTCGGTCTCCAGGTGGGAGATGCCCTCAACTAGCCCAAGCTTGGTATAAGAGAGAGGAATGGGGAAGATTCCTGAACTTGATCCCACACATGCACAAGTGAGCTCCTGAGCTGAGAAAGCGATGGCTGGTGCCTCAAAGGTCATGTCTGTCTCTGCTCTGCTCAACCTGCAACTCCCCCCACCCTGAGCAAGGGACATACTCCCACCTGGAGCAGCCTTGGACAGAGCCTGCCTTTCCCTTCATTTCAGCCCCCATGGCCACCACAGTGCCCCACACTGTCAGGGCTAGGCCCTGCTCTTCACTAACAACTAAACTCACTAGAGGTCCAGCTGGCTTTGAATAGACTTACAGGAAAAATAAACTCCCCAAGACTCACACATAACTGATCCACAGTGAAACACAGAAGGAGGAACCACAAAACACAACTCCTCCATGAAGGTTGCAGTGGAGGGCCAAAACCTGTGACCTGTGAAATGGGTACCCTGCATTCAGGCTTCTCCAACAGGTCCTCTTCTCCCACACAGAAATCTTCTCTGGGTAGAAAGAGGAATTTGTGCATTTGTTGGGGATTTCCAGATGCCAGGCAGACAGCTGCACTCATGCAAATGTGATGCATCAGAGATCTGATGTGTTGTAGTTAAGATGTGCAATGAAGTGGAGGAGACAGTACCCCACCAGCACTGGTCATACAGTATCCTTGCTCCTGTGGCCAGGCAGCCACTTGGGACTCTGTCCATGGCAATGGGGGAGCCCTGCCCTGTATCTAAAAGCACCAGCGTATCTCACCTGAGGAAGATGGTGGTGCCTTGCTTAGGTGGCAGTAGGCAGCTGTGAAACTTCTCTCTGCAGTCCAGCTGCTAGTGGGAGATGAAGAGCAATGGCAAGGAGAGCAGGAAGAGGAGAAAAAGGGGAGAAAAAACAGGACTAAGAGACAGGGCGGTGCCATACCAGCAGGGATGGGGTGAGAAAGGCTCCTGAGGAGCAATGGTGGGGAGTTTGCATGAACCTCCAGCACTCTCCAGGTCCACAAATGCGTGCCCTGAAGAGCTACAAGCAGGACATCTCCCTGGAGGGGATGGATCCTTCAGCTCCTTTTGAGCACTAAATTGTGACTAGCGTTACCAGTGTGGCCACACATCCCAACATAACTGCTGGGAATAAAAGGAGGGAGAAGGTCAAGGGAGAGATGTGGGTTTGCAATCCACGAAGATCCAGGGAGAGGAACAGGACAGGCAATGGCTGCACTAGACATCCTGTCTCCCTAAAGATGACCATGTAAACCAAGTGTGTGGGATGAGACAGGGTGGAAAAGCAAGCCTGGAGGGCACTGCTTGGGGGGTACTTCCATTGGCACTATGAACCATGTCTGGCCTGTGTTGGCCCTCTCTGAAAATATCTCTGGCAGCAGGATGGAAAGCTGAGCACTGGGAAGCAAGGGGACTTGGTCTGTTATGAATGCCCTGGGTAAGGTTTTACACAGACACATCTCTCTAATGAGGACAGACTGCAGGAGCTGGGCCTGTTTAGTCTAGAGAAGACTGAGAGGGGATCTCATTAATGCACAAAAATACCTCAAAGGCAGGTGCCAAGAGGATGGTGCCAAACTCTTATCAGTGGTGCCCAGTGACAGGACAATGAGCAATAGCCATAAACTAAAACAGAAGAAGTTCCACCTCAACATGAGGAAGAACATCTTTATGTAGAGGGTGGCAGAGCAGTGGAACAGGCTGCCCAGGGAGGTCATGAAGTCTCCCTCTCTGGAGACATTCAAAACCTACCTGGATGCATTCCTGTGTAACCCACTCTAGGTGACCCTGCCTTGGCAGGGGGGTTGGACTAGATTATTTCCAGAGGTCCTTTCCAACCCTAACAATTCTGTGATTCTGTGATCTCTGACACCTAATGGACATGGGATTGGGAAGACCATTGGAAAGCCTTCTGCCCCAAACTGCTCCACAGCATGCTCTGCACACACCAGGTGTCAGCATCCTCCAGCCATGCCAGGCAAGGTCTGACTTGAAAATACAGAATAATAATATAGAAAATAAACCCTAGGGGGCTTTGTAAGCTAAAGAGAAGAACTGGTTTCTTCATGTTACCTGAGCAAAGCTCAGAGCAGCAGCCCAGTCATTTCAAAGCTATCGTTCCCAGGTCACCTGTAGGGAGGGACTGGCACAGTGTGGCATTGAGGGCATTCTAATGGTGACGTCTCCATTAGAATGCACAATGGTGCAACAAGGTGGGATAGCAACTATTCCTTCGTACCACAGGCTTGGAGCAAACAGCCTTCCTGGCCTCTTGCCTTGGAGCAGCTCCCGTGAATGTCTGGAGCCTCAGCAGCCCTGGCCTCCCGGGCCAAGGTGCAAGGGAGAGAGAAAGGTGAGAAGCATATTCCCTCATGCAGAACTGTTATGAGAAACAGAGTGGAAAAGGAGAGGAGAGGGAGCATGGAGCGGACACACACAGGCTCTCGACTGGCCCTTTCGAATGCTTTCCAACCACAAAAGCATCTGCATCACCGCCCACCACAGCTGAACTGTCAAGAGAAGTTTCTCTGAAGGTGAGGAGGGTCTGGTACTACAACCCCCAGCCACAGATGGGGAGTGCCGAAGGGCTGCTCAGCTAAGGCTCCCTCCTGCCACCCACCCGCACTCATGTTACATCCTCACCAGCTCTGTGGTGTTTTTTTGGTCTACCCTGAGCAGATTCCTCAAATCAAGGTGCTTTTCCTGGTGGGGGGAGAGGGTGGGACTGGGGCAGGGCTGCAAGGACCTGGCAGTCAGCACTCATTGGCTCTTTCTGGAAAGAAGATTTCGCGGCATCGCTGGACCGTGTCTTGGGGGGACTGGACACTGTGTCCCACAGTGCGGGGATCATCATAGATTTCATAGTCGTTCCCTCCCTGCAGGGGAATAGAAAACAGGGACAGCATTAGCAGGGTCTTGCCAGAACCACTTCATCCGAGAATCTGCATTTTGCTCTGTCCCATGGGGAGCTGGGGGAGGAGCCAGCAGCTGGGCAGGCAGGGACCTGGAGGGAAGGGGCAGTCAGGACTTTGCTGGCCCCAGGGGCTGGGAATTCTGCTCCCTCCATCTTGCCTCCCCTCTTCAATGTCAGGGGAGGAGCATAGGATGGGGAAGGTCCCAGACCAGCAAAGCTTGTCCAGGAGCCTGGGGTTAACCCCTGCTCTGTTTGTGGAGGGGTTAATAGGTTACCCCTGTGGAGGGGCGGGAACATTTGGGGAGCAGAGGTTGCCGGCATTTGGAAAGAGCTGAGTGGATGATTAATCTAGTCTCCAGCAGCAAGGAAGCATCATCCTCCACTGCTCTAAAGGGAAGGTGAAGCTGTTCCTGCTGTTGAGAAATCCTCTCTTAAGTGCTGGGGGCTTGTGTTTGGGGTCATTCAGGCTGCAGGAGTGGCTGCCACCCTACCAAGGATGCTGGGATAAGGAAAGCAAGGCTGAGGTGGACCTGCTTGCTAGCACAGTGAATCCAAGGTGATTTCCCCGTGACCCAGTAGGCCTGCTGCCATCATGGAGACCATGACAAACCACACCACAGGACAGCATCTTCCTCCCTCATGCTAAAGGTCTGTATCGGTGCCAATGGGACCCGAGCCATTGGACCCATGATAGAGCAGCTCCACGCAGGAGAGAAAGCGGCCATGTGTGGGGCGAGTGGGGAATACTCACAGGGGTCGTCTCATTCCCGAAGAAGTGGATAGTGTCAAATCTCTCGTCGTCGAGCACATTGAGGCAGTAGCGCTTGTCCCAGCCCTCTGGGAACACATCAAAGCTGATCATGCCACCTGCCAGCAGAAGAGAGGGCATCGGGAAATGTCACTGGGAGCTGGCAGGGTGTCCCACCCTGGGATGGGCAGGAGGATGGGAGGGAGCTGGATGTCTGTGTGGACCCACCACTCCAAAGAGCAGCCACGAACACCACCAGCTCTGCCTGGGTGTTTCTCTTGGCATGTGGCTAGGATAGTGGCAGAGGCTGTTCCTATGACAACAGGCTGGAGTGACATCAGTATGGCTGGGGTGACATTAGCACAGCTTCCCTGCAGGCAAGCAGGAACCAGCAGGTTCCTCCCAAGAGAGGCATCTTTGGGGGAGATCTGGGGTCATGCCTTGTGGATAGCACCAGCATGTTCTATGTCCCAACAGGGGACAATGACCTTGGAGACTGGCACCAAGCTCTCTCCTAGGCTCCTGCCTGGACATCACTGGCCCTTCAAAAACCACTGTTCTGATGCTCCTTAACCGTGCAGGGACTGGGAGCTCCCATACACTGTCTCTGCACACTGATAAGGACCTTGCCACAGAGGTACCACGAGCCCATCAACATAATTGGGGCACAACCCTGGCCCATCACCTCTTGACACAAGACCTAAGTGAGGGTTTACAGCATCTGGAGAGGCACCGAGTCAGATGTGGCAAACATACAGTGGTCAGGGAGTTTTCTCAGAGAGCCTGCATATGGACATGGACACCCACAGCCAAGGGTTAACAAACTTCCCAGCCCTTGCTCTTAGACCAGGCAGAGTTTACTCCAGCACTGGGCTGCCTTTTGGGGGTGCTTGGAGGCAGCACCTTCTCTGTCCTCTCAAGGTGCCCCACTGCATGCACAGGCTTGTCCCAACACCAAGACAGGTGACATGTTCCTCCCAAAATAAAGCCTGCGACTTAGGGCACATATAGGTTTAGGTCTCGCTCAAAGCCAGAGAAATGGGGATTTGAGCTGGGATGTACATCCTCTTGCTAGTCCAGGTCTCTGCTCATCTTATCCAGGCAATCTACCGGAGTATCCCTCAGAAACCCTGGCGTTTCACACTCTCCTTCATAAATGATAATCCTACCTCTCTAAGAAAGGTGGTGAGTAGACAGGCACCAATTCCCAGGGTTGCTCAACCATGCAAGTCCTGATGCCATGGTCCTCCCCTCCCTAGCTGTTTTGAGTGTCCCCACTGGTTTGGGGATCCCAAACCAAGCCTCCTTGGAGCCTGAGGGAGCTTGAGCTCGAGCCTGTGTGTCCAGCTTGGAGCAGAGGAACCAGACAGGATGCCCTGGACAGAGCACTGTGATATAAATGGGAGCAAGTGCCCTATGAGCTCAGGAATGGGGATGTCCCCAAGCTTGCAGCAGGATCCAGCATCTGAGCAGGAGCTAAACTTGGTTGATTATTAAAATCCTTCCTGGTTTTGCATCCAAAGCCATTGACCTGTGAAAAATACTGCCTTTCACTGCATTCTAGCCTTTCAAACAGAGCTGGGCAACAAGAAGGGGCTCCTGATGCCAGCTGGAACAGGTAGAAAATCAAAGGAAGAAGAGGTGGTGTGGAGGACAGCCAGCACTGTCCCTCACCTAAGTAGACCAGGGGTCTGGATGGGCTGCAGGGAGATCTCCCACCACCTCTGGGCCTTGCATCCTCCACAGCCAGGGAGAAGGCACATGAAGCCAGCTTGGCAGAAGGGTCCCTTTTCTGTGTTCCCTGTTTTTGGATCCCTGTTTTGCCCCCCGCATTTTCTTTGTGGAGGAGCGAGGGGCCTGCAGCTCCCCTTGTCTTCATGCTTTTACACAACAGGCCTGGGCTCTTCATGGCAGCTTTCCAAAGTCAGAGGAGAAAGGCCCATTGTTTTGCTCTCACACCCCGTGCCTGCAGGGACACAGTAGCAGGGACCTTGTCTTTCTCTCCTGTAACAGTGTGTGTCAGTGCTGTGGGCAGCACAGGATGCCCCTGGCAGGATGCTGAAGGCAAGCAGAGGCTCTCGGAGGAAAGCCCTTGGAGGACCAGATCCTTGGTACTGGCCCACGTTGGATGCAGGAGTGGGTGTCACCCGCTGCCTCTCAGCCTCGCCACCCCATTGCCCTTTGGGTGGGCTGACACACGACACCTTCTTATCTCACACTTACCCACCTGCCCTGCAGAGTGTCTTCTTCCAGCATCATCCCCACCACTTACACACCCTCATTTTTCTCCCTGTCCTGGCCAGACCCTCAGGATTGCTCAAGCTCCTCCTCTGGTTCCTCACCTTCAGTAAACTGGCTGTAAGAGCCACACCAAGAAGTGGCCCTGCAAAAGCCCATGGCATGGAGCTGTAAACTCCTTACCCCTGGTCAGCTCTTTTTCCAGGAATAAAGATGTTTCCCTTGCAGCCCACCTTCCCAAGAAAACCCCAGAGCCAAGACACACATAAGGATCCTGTCTCATTCCTAGAGAGGAGTGCATGTGTTGGAGGTCTGCTGGCTGCCCTGTTGCTGATGCTTCAGCCAGAACAGACTCTTTGGGCAGTGGTAGGCTCCATGAACTGAAATTAAGGCAGCGATAATGTCATGGAAATCTGCCTGTCTGGCCAATTCCCTGGGAGGCAAATCTGCAGCACGGTTTATTCTCTGCTGTGTCCCTGTCATGAATGCAAATGTGATGCCCCTGTGGCAGTCCTCTCCAGGACTAGAAGCTCCTTCTGCTCTTCCCAAGGTCTCCAGGCTCTCAGAGGGAACAGCTGGGATTCTCGCTCCCCTTCCCAAAAATTTAAGGAAAACACGATAAAGACAGAGCCAAGGAAGCCCCCCCAGCTCACCTCGGGAGAAACGCAGGCCCTTGCCAGCAAACTCCCTCTGCAAGGCTGCCACAAACTTCTCCCGGATCCGCTCTTTCTGTGGACGATAAGGAGGAAGAGAAGGAAAGAGAGTTTGAAAAATTAGATGCTGACAGTCTCTCAGAATCCACTGTAACCTATCTGCTGGGCAACTCTGCCTTATTGTTCTGCTCCCTTCCCACCTGTCCTAGGCCATTTAGTCAACTTCCACCAGTCCTGCCCAGTGTCCAAGTAAAAGGCCATCAGCTCAGTCCATGGGGAAGAGCAGATCCCAGCCATTCCTTGGCAATGAAATGCAACTGTTTCAGTTTCCCAGAAGGCCAGTTCATAATCCAAAGTCTCCAGTTTTGCTTAAAAAGTCTTGCAAGGACCAATTGATCCCTCAACCCCAAGAAAGCTCCCCCAGGCAGAAACTGGTATGAGCATAGGCCAAACGCTCCAGAGACCTGCCCAGCAGATCTGCTGTGGCTCTCTGAGTCTGGAAAGCCCATTAGTTCCAGCTCTGTTGGGGCTGGGAGAGTGGGAGAGAGAAGACAGCTGCTGGGCTGTCTTTGGGTACTGTAAATGAGGAAACATGCTGTTAAATAACTGCCTTATTCTCTGTGGCTCTCCCACAGCACAGGGAATCCTGCTGGCCACCCCTTCACATTGGTGGTCCCCGAGGAAATCCAATTCTTCCATTCATCTGTGTTTCCCTTTGGGTTTTCTGACTCTCAGTCCTGTCTCCACTTTGCTGCATATGCGCAGCTTGGAGCTGGGCTCCATTCTCCTTGGGAAGGGGGGAAGCACGTAAGACCTGAGATCTGTGGTTGTGCAAAAACAGCAAATGGGAGGGTGAGCCCAAGTCTGGCCCGTGTACCTTGTCCAGCTCAGAGAACTCAATTCGCTCTTCTGGGGTGCAGCTTCGTCCGATGGGGGAGATGTTCAGCATCCCGTTGCGAAACTCAATGAAGGTTCCTCTGTGGGTGGGCAAAGGAAGAAGGTTACTGGGGCAGGGAGAGAAAAACAACCTTTACAGGGGAATGACTGCTTAGCAAGGCTCTGCAAGGATGTGCAGGAGGAGAGAAGCCATGCCCGCTCATGGGTGCTTCACACCAGGCAGGGACTAGGCAACAACAGCTGCTTAAGATCCCCCTGGGGCGCCTAGTTTCATAAAAAGAGACTGTAAGAGAAGAGGAATAAACAGTTCCTGTGTGCCCTGGGGACAGGCTGGATGCAAGGAGCTTAAGTGAGGTGATAGGTAACGTTTTCCAATGTTGTGATAACTGCAAGGACAGCTATTGCCTGGCCTGGACCAACTGCCTGATGAGACTGTGGCCTCTCCACCCCATGAGGCTTTTAAGAAATATTGTGTGGGCTGTGAAGGTGGCAGTACCTTAGGGCAGTGGAATAGCACAGGTCGGTGTAACTCGCTGCTGATGTCCACCAACAGGCTGAGGAGCAATCAGGCAATTCGTGTCCTCATAGGCCACAAATCAGGGCCTTCGTATCTCCCATTTAACCCCTGAACCTCTGATTGCAGCTCATATCTAAGCTTGCACAGACAGCATCCAGTTCCTGCTTGCCACCCTCACCTTGCGCTGGGATCACTGCTCTGCTGCTTCCTCGGTGGGCTGGTTGAAAGCACTGAGCTGGCAGAAAATTGCTACCTTCTTTTCTCTCTGCTATAAACCCAGCTAGTTTTGTTTGCTTGTCAAGGGGCCAGACAGGTACCAGCACTGGTGGGACAGAAACAACAGGGGATGGCAGCACTGCTAATTTGAAAATAGACTGAAACTCTTGTGGAAACCTAGCTGGAGCAGAGAGATCCCCTTCCCTGTCCAGCTGAGGATTCCTGATCACATTTAACCCTCTGATGTCCCTACCAGCCCTGCCTACTGTTTCTCTGTGATAAAGTGAGTCTCGAGGAAAAACTCTCCCCCTCCTGTCTCGTTACACAGTGAAGAACACCATGGGGAAAGACACACAGGCAGCCACGCCTGCAGCCTGGGAGTAGCATCTCTGCAGCACCCAGGGTTTGGTGGATCACGCCCCAAGCCAAGGCTCGGGAGATGTGGGTTAAAGTCCTTGGTTTGCTAGAAATCCTATAAGCCTAAATCCACAGAGCTACTTGGGAGCTGAAACTTTGCCAGACTGTTGGGTAACTAGACAGCAGTGAGGCAACCAAACAGCCTTGAGGGTTCTGGGTCCCAGCACGTGCTTTCAGGGGCCTGCTCAGCCAGCAGTCCTGTTGCAAGGAGCCACCCTAGCCCCTCTCACCAGTCCTTTTATTGTCACATAGTGACTCACATCAAGCAAATAACTTGGATCACAGTGTAGCAACTTTTACCAGCTTGATCTCGACCCAACAGCTCACCTGCTCAGGTTCACTGTACAAACACATGGGCAGAGCAGGAAAAAAACAGCCAGGGCGAGGGGAGGACAGAGCTGCTGCTCCCAACAGCACTGGATGGCTCATGCATTTGTGAAACTGTGGTCTGAGGTGGGGTTTGACTCTGCATCCAGCCTGGCTTGACTGCAGGCTGCCTCTGAAAGAGGTCCTCCTGCTCTACCCTTCCACCTTCATGCCATCTGTTCCCTCTCTCTCCTTTCTGTACTAACAGGATGAGCTGATCCAATGGAAAACTACCCTCTTCTGTCCTGGTAGTGGTCTGGTCTTCCTTCAGAGGAGGTGTACCAACTCAGTTCCCCCTCTGGCTGCTGGATATCAAGGGGAAGAGCAGACAGGAACACATGGCTGGGAGCAGGGCAGGGCCAGCCAGTGACACTGGATTAGAAACAGTGTGAAACCTTGTGCTCAGACACTGGACTTTCCACCTTAAGATCCATTGTTTGCCTGTTTGGAAACTCCTAGGACCAATAGTGCCTGATGCCCTGACCAGTAACGAGCTGGCACCATTGTCCTAAATGGGATATGTGCAGTGGCTGTACCTTGCTTCCCCAGGAGGAAAATCTGAGGGGCCAAAGAACTGGCATTACGCTAAAACAACGCAGACTCTTCAGAACAAAGACCCTCCTCCATTATTTGCCCAGGCCGCCCAGCCCAGTGGGACAGTGATCCTACACAGTGCCTCTAGATGCTAAGATAAAACTTGAAGCAAGACAAGCTCTGTAGCTCGGCTGTTTTTATGAGAGCTCTGGAGCCCAGGGCTTCCTAGAATTCAGTGTTATGAGAACCATTTGCAAGCGCTTGGGCCGTTACCGTTTCTTGGGCAGCTTCAGCAATGCCATGTAGTTGAGACAAAAGTTGATCAGATCCTGCAGCAGCTCTTCCCCCAGGTGATCCTGAATGGCCTGCATGAAGAAAAGGGGAAGTGAAGAAGATGCCTGACTTCCTAGGAAGCCCACCTAGAAGAGTGGGACATTTAGATCTGGCAACTGGGGAGAAGAGGCTGGGTGGGGCAGGCGCTGGTCCTCACAGCGTGCAGGGCACAGGGCAGGAAAGCCATGGCTGAAAAGGGAGCTGGACCTACCTGCTTGGAGACCAGCTGCCCATTCTTGTATTGCACTGTGCCGTTCTCTGCAAAGACGTAGTCAAACTTTTCAATGACTGAGGGGGAAGGAAGCAAAAGAGGAAACATGAGTATTGCCTGGGAAAAGCAGCGAAAAGGACTGGGCTCAGGGCTGAGTGAGCATCCTCCTGCTTTCTTAGTACCACACTTTCCACAGCTTCTGTGCTCTGCAAAGGGCCACTGACCATCCTACTCTCCTTGCTTTCCACAAGGTGGATGAGAAGATTATCTTCTGTTCCCGGGTGGAGAGCTGACGCACGCAGGGGGAAACGACCTGACCGAGGTCACGGACTGAATCAGTTGCAAAACGAAGATAAGGGCTCCAAAATGTCAGGCTTTCAAATACATGCGTGTTACTCTGCTCTCTCCTCCGCCCTCCCCATTGCCAGGCTGTGGGGGTGATGTGGTTACTGGTTATCTAACTCCAGCCCCTCCTGCAACCCAGACACGCAGCACTGGCGACTCAGCAATCAGCCTCAGCCGGGAATTTCTCGGCCTCCCTAACGAAGCGGGAGCAGAGCTTGGAGCCCAGTGGCGCTTGTTATCCATGCCGGAGAAGGAAAAAACGGAGGGAGCAGAGGCTTCTACCCTATTCTACCCCGTGTCCCCAGTGGAACCTGCCGGAGACCCCACATGGAGCAGCAGGGAGGCAAAAATTGCCGGAGGCTCCTGCCTGCTATATCGAGGGGTGCAGCTGTAAAAGCCTTGACGAAGCTCGTACAAAACTGACGCTGGAGTCGGCAGCGTGGATCGGAGCATCCCTGCCGGCTCTCCAAAGAGGGAGGGGGAGCCAAGCAGCAGCTCCGCCTGGGCGCCGCCAGCCTCCCCAGGGGCAGCCTTGGGGTTGGATTTAGGGCACAGGTGACCCCCGGGAGACCTCGTCGGCCGCGTCTCACCTTCGTCCCCGTCCCCCAGCTGCTCGGCTATCTTGGCATAGTCGGAGCCTCCCACCACGCCGATGAGCACCCTCTCCCGCAGCTCCCGCAGGAACGCATCCACCTCCGGCTCGATTTTCTGGAGGGGAAGCAGCGGGTGAGGCCGCAGCCAGCGGGACGAGCTCCGCCACGCTGACCTTGCCCCGCAAAAAAAGCTCGCCGCCCCCGCGCCTCGCTACCTGCCGAGGCGGCGTCAGGGTCCCGTCCACGTCGAAGAGGCACAGCACCCGGCCCCGCGCCGCCGCCATGCCCGCCGCCGGCCCGGGCTCTGCGGGCGGGAGGCGGGACCGCGCCGGGGAGGTGATGGCGGCCGCCCGCCCTCCCCGCGCCCACGGGCGGGACGTGCGGCCGCTGTCTCGGCCCCGCTCCTGTGCCCCCGCGGCTCCATCGCCCCGCCAGTGCAGCCTTTATGTGCCGGGCGTGAACGGCGTCCCCGCTTCAGCTCTCTCCTTAAATCCTTTGCTATAGAGCCCTAACGAGGCACCTGGGAGTTTCGAGGAGGGAGGGTGTGGGGGTGCGTGTTTTCACATTTGCTGTTATTACTGCAGTGCCCCCCGGAATGGAGGGGCTGTGGGTCTGGATTGTGCTGCCTGGTAAGCTCAGCTCCTCTGCGCGTTTCCGTGTCCTAGCGAAGGACACTTCACACTGTCCTAGCAGCACACACTCACCCATTCAGTCCCTGTGCCTCATCTTGCTTTTCCAATAGGATTAGCTATTCATAGCTAATACTTTCACTGGAGAAGTGAAAATACCCTCTGTGCAAAGCTACTAACTTTTGCTTTGACCTGCTCAAAAGTCATTTAGGATTTAATTAGACCATCTGGTCAGATCATATTCATATGGCTCCATATCATGCTGGCCTGATATGTGACAGTGGACAGCCCCCTCCCCACTGCCATCGCCTCAAATAATTCCTGAATTATTTTCCGAAATCAAAAACAACCTATGTGGAACATTCAATGCTTTCTGCTCAACAGTTAGCTTGCATTCCCTTCCCCAGTGGTGCTCAGTGCGGAGCTAGGTTGGAACTGGAGGAAGACATTTTTTTACTGATTGTTTTTTCCTCAGTATTATTTGTTGCAGGATATTGTGCAATCCCTTTTCCCAGTTCTCCACCAGATTCCTCTCAAAATGAAGCATCTGGGTGGCTTCACAGATTGTTTTTTTGTTTGTGGTTTATGATTTTCCTGCTCCCACTCAGCGAAAGGAGGGTGTACAGAAACAACGTTAATAATTTTGGTTTACCAAAACATCCTCAGCTACTTTCTGGGGGAGACATTCATTGTCCACTGGCTAATGCCACCAGGACAGCTGTTTCCACACTGTTTCTGCGAGTTGCCTTCCCAACATAGTGAGTCAGGCAGTCTTGGATGGGTGTTACAAGTGTTATTTGCCCCAGCATTGATTTTCTTGCAGAATCACAGCTGCTGGGGCCTTCTGGATTAGACCCAGTTACGGGCTCCTGCCTCTGGAAAGTGGGACTCTTTACTCAGATGCACTGAAGCTCCCAGAATGGTTTCTCAGCACCCAGCTGCTTTGTATGCAATTGAGCACTGAGTTTTTAGTTTAGGGTTATGCTCATTTATAGGACTTGTCTAGGTGTGATTACACATATCATCAGTCAATGTGTGGATGCTTACTCCAGAATATGAATACTTCAAAGTGTGCCTACCATGGCATGCTGACGAGTAAGCAGAAATGTTTTCATGTGTTTGGGGTACTCGAGTACCAAAAGCCAAAAAACTGCTCTCCCATGTAGCAGAACTGCGAGTTAATGCCCAGGGCTCTCAAAAGACAGCCGTGGGGTCAGATACACAGTGAACTCCAAGGGTTTCAGGAATGCAAGCCTTTATTTTCCATAAACCATGGTATGGTATGAGGACGAGACTTCCCAGTCTGGATGAAATAAGCACAGATTTAGGAAAACCTGCCAGCTCACACCTATTGCAACCCTGGCATTGTAGTGTCCTTGCTACCAGGTTCTTGCTGTAGTCCAAGTTGCCCCATGGTCTTGTCTCCTGGCTAGTCCTACCTGCAGCTTTCTTGTCTGGGAGAGACCTCGCTCCATGCCTGTTGCACTGACATTACTATGGACATCTCAGCCACTCTCCCCAGGCTCAGGTGCATCCCTGTGCTTCGAGGCAGCAGTGCCACCTCGGGGCACTTTCCTGAATTGGGAAGACTGTTAAAATTCAGTCAGCATTCACATTTTCGCACTCCTGCAGTGCCATCAGGTTTATGCTACCAGCAGAGCTTTCCAAAACTTGAACTACCTGCTGTGCTTTCTACAGCTTATTTGTCACACTGCTTTAGAAACTCTCTTCGAGTCAAAACACCTCTCCCAGCACCTCCATGGCCATTTGGTATCACCCAGTGAGGACTTGGGACATCTTGGTTTCCCTGAGAGCATAAGCATGCCTTTTGGTGAAGTGCACAGCTGTGTACAGCTTGTTCCTTCATCCAGGTTAGCTCTGAGCAGGGCCACTGTGGCTGTTGCGGTTATTTAATACTTTGCGCTTCAACCACTGGATACATTCGCTTGACTGCTGCTCAGATAGGCAGCAGCTGTCATCAGGAATAAAATCTCTGCTACTAGTAGCAAAGGCATGTATTTTGTTAGAAGTTTAGAAGGTAAGCTGCTGTGAGCAACTGTCTTACACTCTGTCTAGGGCTGCCAGTAAAGTCAAGGTTTTCCTTTAAATTAAAAAAAATAAAAAAAAAATTAAAATTTAATTTAATTTTAAAATACCCAACTGCAGGTATTTTGTGTGGGGCCAGTACTAGTACTTGATAGCAAACCAGCACCACATCTGAGTAGCACAGCCCAAAATAACCACAATCATGCATCTTTGTTACAACCTCCTTCTGTTACAAGACCTCCTCTGTATTACGCTGATACAGACTGTTACAGAAACAGCCTGTGTGGTTTATCATTTGGATGCCATCAATAAGCATGCAGAAGGCCAAACCAAGCAGAATTAATGTCTTCCCCAGACCCAGATATTTGGGGCAGTGCTACATAATCCTCACCAATATCTCCTCTGCAGCTTCAGAGGAACCCAGGTATGAAGTCTACTTCTTAGTCTACTGCTTTTTAGCTTTTTTTTTTTCCATTTTGAAGTAGCAGCATCAAGCTTAGAGCCTTTTCCCATGTTTAAACTCTGCTGGGCCTCTTCTTCAGCAGCAGACATTAGACATTTCCTTCTTGCACACTTAAATGAGCAAGGGCTGTACAAAACCTGTGCTGACAGAACATCATCTTTGAGCGCATCCAAGCTGTGTCAAGCCTCAGGAGTATGATTTTAGATACCACAGTACTTACAGAAGAAAAATTTTTCCGAACTTAAATAAGAATATTGCCTGTGGCCAGTTCAGGAAAGGGCAGTAGCCACCACCACTTCCAGTAGCAGTACTTGGCACAAACTGCTTGAACAATTTCTCATCCTGCACTTCCCAGCTGGGATCAGAGTAAAGATGATGACTTCTGGTCAGCTGCATTCGCTGGGCAGCTGCGTGGGCACATGCATTCAAACAGGAAATTTGCTGTATTTCTTTTTATTGTAATAGAAAAAAACCCACAAATAAATCAAAACATCACTTTCTGCCTAAAGACATTATTAACATTTTTAAAATGGCACGGGGGGAACCCCAGCAATACAAGACAGAATAGTAAGTGTGGGCAAAAGAGTTCTGTTCCCGTTCAGGGGTTCAGTTTCCCTGCCCCTTTGTCAGTCAGCTGGCTGAAGTTCATCACCAACATACACTTACATACACTTCTCAGTCTAGTTTATATTTGGCGGGGTGGAACATTGAGGGCACAGTCCTGCAATTTATACATAACTATCTTTGGAGAAAATGGGTTTCCTAAGAGTCCTACAGGGTACAGGGGTCTTATTACCCAGTAAGACCAAGCAAACAGGATTCTCCCCTACAGCTCTTTTGCCACAATACACAAGTGTAGGTCCCGAGCCCAGAAGGCCCTCTCAGGAGCTCCCTAGCTATTGCAAACAGTATATGGCTGAGTGAAATTTTACCCAGTGACCTTAAAGTAGGAGCATTATCTCTGCAAAGGGGCTGCTCAGGAGGGGAAAAGGCAGATTGCAAAATGCATGGGGTGAATGTCTTCCTTTTCTTTCCTGCCCCCTGAGAGGATGTAAAAAGTCCTGAAGTAGGCAGAAACCATGGCACCAGTGCTTCCACAGGCAGCTGCACCTGAAGTGATAGTTTGCTGAAAGACAAGCAAGCACAGCTTTGCTGCTTGCAGGTACCAAACTAGCATACCTAAATGTTGGGCTGCACTGTATCAGCTTGAGTATACCCGCTCAACTAAGGAAGCTCCAAGATCTCTAACACGATGTACAATGTTTTGTGGCACAGTCGTGTGCATTAAGATGAAAGGCTAGGCTGGTTACTCTTCACAGAATAGGTATGAAAAAAGACTGGAGAGGATACACATAGTAAACAGGAAATCTAAGCTATTGCTTAGCAGAAAACAAACACCAATCCTTCCTCCAGCAGCATCAAAAGGCATTAATAAATGACTTATTATAGAATGCTTTCTGCAAACAGGACACTTTGAGGGGGAAAGATTGAAAGTTTTCGTATAAAGCAATCTGTACGAACTGCTACCATTATCTCCAAGTCCAGTCCATCAAATGAAATGCTTAAGGAGAAGTTGATGGCACAAGCAGAGAATGACAAGGAAAAGAAGCATCTGGGCTGCAGGGGCCCCTGCTGTGCACTGAAAGCAGGTACACAAAAAAACGCAGAATGGACTGACACTACCCTATTTCCATCTGTGCAGTGGCTCCACAAGTTGCAGGGCAGCAGAGTATTTGACAGTGACGAAACTGCAGTTTTCCTCTATTCCAATCCCTCAGAAATACAAACCATTACAGTCCAAACAGAGAAATAGTGCGACAAACTTATCAAACTGCATTATTCTGGGAGAAAGAACCCAGCAGAGGAAAGATACCCCCTTTAGATATGCAGAAAGTTTCCAGTGCAGGAAGTCTGAGATGCAGGACTGAACTTGCAGCAATACTTTTCACAACAAAGCACTGGACAAAGGGCTGTACATTTGCATAGATGCTTTTTCAGCAGCATCTGGGACATGCAATCCCCATTTATGGAGCATCAGCAATATTTTGGGGTTCGTCCAACGTCTTTCTTGTATTCCTTCCTAAATGTAACTGCTACAAAATTGTTCAGGAAAATAGTGTATATACATGCATGAAAACAAAACAGTGTGCCTGTTCTTCTCCCACTGCAAATAATTGCAAA